GAAGATGTATTGACTGATCTATTGAATAAGTATGCAATATGTACTCTCTAAATTCAAATGATCAACGAGATCATAATATTTCCGCAAAGCTAGGTGGACCGGCAGCTCATTTCATCTTTAAATTAATTCCAGCTGGACCCATTCCCAGACGGGATCGCATCTTCCCGACCTTGCCCGATCGGATTTAACGGCAAGCCTTAGGCCAGCAGTTGGTCGCGTCAGCCAGCCGTTCCCGGCGAAGAGGCAAGACGAGGCCTTATCTTTTCTTTTTCCCTCCCCTTCTCCTGCTTGCTACTATCCCCACCCTTTCCTCTCCTCCTTCTCCTTCCCCAGGCCTGCACTTTGGCTTTGGCTTCTTTTTGACTTTGTTGTCGTTATCTTGCTGCTTTTCAGCAAGGCCATTCGTTTGATTACTTCTCCGTCGTCTCCCGACATACGCTCTTCACCCTCGCACTAGACCTTGTAATCATTTGTCCGCATCGTCGTCCCACCTCCCATACTACACTTCCAGCCCACGACTTCGCCCCCGTCCCACTCACACACCCATAATAAGCCTTGCACCCTTTCGCGGTTCCACTCGAGTTGTCATGGTCGGCGGTCTTGACTGCAATTAATTCACGTGTATCTTTCTCTCGACATCCTCATGGGCAAACGTAAGCACCCGTCGCATAGTCCTTGATTTCGCCTATATGGAGACTGACGGATTCTGGTATAGACCGATATGGAGTCGTTCTGGACGCGGGTTCGTCCGTAAGTAATACTGCGCCATACATGCCTCTGCACCATCTCTAATCCCGGAGATAGGGAACTCGAGTCCACGTCTATCGCTGGTTGGACAATGCTGTCGCGCGGGAAAAGGGAAAGCATCTGCAGACATTGCCCGAAGTGAAAACGAAAAGCGACTGGACGAAGAAGATACATCCCGGTACGTCTGGTGGATGGCTGCGCTACGTCTCAGGTCAATACTAATGCCTTGGTCTTATAGGAGTGTCGTCGTTTGCCGATAAACCGGAAGAAGTCGGTCCTGAACATCTGGCAGAACTCCTCGAACACGCGAAACAGATCGTCCCCGATGACGCCGTGAAGGATACCCCCATTTTCCTGCTCGCGACTGCGGGCATGCGACTGCTTCCTGACGTACAGCGCAACCTTCTGCTCGAACAGATCTGCTCCTATGTCGGCTCGAACTCGGATTTCCTGCTTCCCGACTGCGGAGTCCATATCCAAGTCATTCCAGGTATCACCGAGGGCTTGTACGGATGGGTCGCCACAAACTATCTGCTGGGAAGTTTCGATTACCCAGGCACGCATGATCACGGCAAGGGACACCACACGTACGGCTTTCTGGACATGGGTGGTGCTTCTGCGCAGATTGCGTTTGCACCAAATGCGACTGAGAGCGAGAAGCATGCGAACGATTTGACACTCCTACGGTTGCGCAATGTGGATGGATCGACCCAGGAACACAGGGTCTTTGTCACCTCATGGCTCGAATTCGGCGTTCATGAGGCGCGCCGGCGCTATCTGGAGTCATTGCAAGCGGCCAGCGCTATTGGAGACGTCAAGGAGCTTCCTGACCCGTGTCTGCCGTCTGGATTACGCACCACGATCGATGGCAAGCTTCTCGCGGCGGATGACATTGACGGGATGCATCTGCTGGGAACTGGCAAGTTCGATGAGTGTCTGCGACAAACATACCCGTTACTGGACAAAGACGCGCCTTGCCCCGACCAACCCTGTCTCCTGCACGGGATGCATGTTCCGGCTATCGACTTTGACGTTAACCATTTTGTCGGCATCAGCGAGTACTGGCATACGACTCACGATGCGTTCGAGATGGGTCACAAGGACAAGGCCTACGACTTTGCCACTTACCAGGAGCGTGTGCGATCATTCTGTTCGCAGGACTGGGCGACCGTGGAGAACGGTCTCGAGGCCCACCAGTGGGGAAACAAGTTTGATCGGGAATCGGCTTCGGAGATCTGCTTCAAGGCTTCCTGGATCATGAACGTGTTGCATGATGGTATCGGGATTCCGCGCGTGGGACTCGAGGACATTGCGGGCTCGGGTCACAACGGAACCAAGGAAGTGCTGTCCCACGGCCAAAGCAAAGGCTACTTGGACTCCTTCCAGGCCGTGAACAAGATTGACTCTACCGAAGTCAGTTGGACTTTGGGCAAGATGGTCCTCTATGCCTCGTCTCAGGTTCCTTTGGAGACAGAAGAAGCCCTTCCTGTCGGCTTTGGCAGCAATGTTGCCGGCGTTCCCAGCGATTTCCAGTACCCCAGCGTGGAGTTGCTGCCCAGTCCCGAAGGGATCCATGGCACAACGTGGCATGATGCGCTCCTCGAAGGGAGCTCGTCACGCAGAGCCCCGGGCTTTGTCTTGTTTCTTCTTATCGTGATATTGGTGGCCTTCTTCCTTTGTGGACGAAGCCGTCGTCTGAAAGTCTACCACAAGATCAAGAACGTCTTTGGTTGGGGTGGCCCGTCTCATCCAAACTACCCGAAGCGGAGGAGGATGTTTGGTGGCAAACTCCCGTTCTTTGGTCCCAGAAGCCCTACTTATGAGCGCGTTCTCGAGGAAGGCGCTCAGGAATTTGATCTCGGTGCGAGCGGATCCAGCCGCAGCTCCTTTGACGGGGGACGTCCGTCTGAAGCCGATGCCGCCAGGTTTACGGCCCCTAAGCGGGCCTCCAGCTGGGGCAGTGGTAACACTACGCCCACCTTCAAATATGCATTAGACAATTCCTCGTCCGGGACTATTGGCCTCGGAATTTCGGCTGGGTCAGGAGCCAACGCGATGGATCGACATGGGCTGGTCGTGAGGACCGAGAGCAGGGATCATCTGGCACCTTTGGCATTGGGGCCGACAACCAATGGACGCCGCTCCCGAGCAGGCAGTCCGTCGAGATCCCATCCCAAGTCACCACTAATGACCCCCCTAGCAGACGACTAATGCTGCTGTATGATTACGTTTATGTTGCCAATGTTGCATCACTCTGGCGTTTGGTTCTGTTTCATTCATGACTTGCAGAAGGGATCTGCAAGTCCAGGTCGCTGCTTGAAGCCGGCGTATGACCGCATAATAGTCCTTTGCTTCTTGGTGCCATATTATCAGGGGCGTGCTCCGGAGTACATAGCTACTCTTTACCTTTTATTATACTAGACTATTTATGAGAGTCATAATACAAATAAAGAAAATAATCTTAAAGTGCTCATCTTCATAGTGAATGCGTAAACCCGTCATAGTGGAACTGCTCACGTGAGCCGCTGTGCGTAGCTGAACAGCGGCTCACCGCCCGGGCAAAATCAGCAGCAGCAGTGAAGATAGTCAAAGATGCGCGACAGAGCTCCGTCTCAATCTCATCATCCCCGCTACTTCAATTGACATTTTCCTCAATCTACTAATTCCTCTACACCAGTCGCTTCGCGAACCTTTCTTCTTCTTTGTGCATGATACCCCAATAGAACCCGTTCTCGAATACCACCCGCCACCATGCGATTGACCGTCGAACTGATCCAAAATTCCCTGTCGTACATCAACCCGCTCAAAGACCGCGAGCTAGATCTTCGAGGTGCGTTCCAGCCACCAGTCCTGAAAAGAACAGATACTACACTTTTGAGATGAGCTTGATTGATATCGGTTTTGTGTTTGAGTCGTATAGGGCACAAGATACCCGCTATTGAGAACTTGGGTATTGCCAAGGTAATATCCACTACCTCACTTCGTCTCCTAAACTGCTGTTGCGGCATTATATGTGTGGTATGGAAGTTAACGGAGTGTTTAGGACCAAGATGCAATCGACCTAACAGACAACGATATCACCTCCCTCGGAAACTTCCCCTTCTTCCCTCGTCTCCGCACCCTCCTTCTCGCGCGTAACCGAGTCAAGCAGATCCAGCCGACGATATCATCCTCGGTGCCGAATCTGAGCGCGCTGGTCTTGACGGCGAATAACATGAACGAGTTGGCGGATTTGGATCCGCTCAGGAATCTGGTTCAGTTGGCGCATTTGGTGTTGTTGGAGAATCCTGTTACTAGGAAGGAGGTAAGCTTCCCTCTACTCTTCATTTTCTACCGAATCCAAAGTCATAATAATGTCTAATATGAATGGTATCGGTATAGCACTACCGCTACTACGTCATCTGGCGCATCCCCAGCGTCCGCTTCCTCGACTACCAGAAAGTGAAAGACGCGGAGCGCGAAAAAGCCACCGAGTTGTTCGGCACAGCTGAGGAGCCGTCCGCGCTGGCGTCCAAGATCATGGGAATCAAGTCTCGCACGTTCGATGTGCCTTCGGGTGCTGGGGGCGCGGATCGTGGAGCGCCCGCGGATAAGGCGGTGCGGGTGAAGTTGACGGAGAAGGAGAGGAAGAGGGTGGAGAAGATGATTCGCGAGGCGAAGAGTTTGCAGGAGATTTCGCGGTTGGAGAAGGAGTTGAATGAGGGAAGGATACCTGGGGGTGCATTGGATTATGCTGATAGTGATGAGGAGATGCAGACATAGGTGCTGAGCATGGGTGCTTTGTTTCTGCTGGGATTGTTTGTGCATTATTGTGGTATATTTTATCTGGTTTAGTGCTAAATGGAAGCACGGTGTTTGGCAATAAAATTATACCTTTTCCCAACTATTTTCTAGATGTACGGCTTCCGATTGCAAAAGGTATAGTAGCAAAAGTGAAACTATCGATTTCCGGCCGTAAGTAAGATTGTTCTCGATAGACATGAAGTCATACTACTAGTAGTAATTAGGCCCGTTCCAGCAGTAGAGTGGAGGGGTTTAAGGTTGTAAGAAAGAACTGCTCCTCTCATCTTCACCCGATACTATTTCATCATTACTAGAGTACTCAACCATTTCATATCTCCCTCCTTCCCACTTCTACTAAGTACTAACTACACCAGTGCATCATCCTCTTCCAACGCACTACATTGTTACTAGGACTACTTTAAAGTACCAGCACTAATTTTAAATGCCTCATTCCACTACTATGCGTATACATGAGTAAATACTACTACTGTAGTAGTACTTTATATATATATATACTACCAGCTACCGCCAAGTTCGATTCCATGGATGCATTCTCACATTCCATATACTAGAAAACAAAAATAATTCCCTTTCAAAATATAAATTGAAATAGTAAAACCAATCAACATATTATACCCCCAATTTATCCATCTCACACCTATCTCTACACCCACAACTCAAACACTACTTATGTACCAATCTCTAACCCAACCAACCAACAGATCAGATAAGATAACAGCACGTGCCGCTATCAACTTACAACACCACTCACTCACCACACAACCTAACGTCATACAATAGCTCCTCCTCCACCACCTAGCTCCCCCCTCCCATCATCCCACTCACTCACTCTCAACACCATCATCAATCCAATCCAATCCAATCCAATCCAATCCCTCAACCCAATCTCAATCCCATCATCCTATCCAAAAAATGCCCCCAAAAGCAGCCCCTACCTCCCCCTCCTAACAACCCACCTAACCTCCTCCCCCACCTCCACCTCCATAACCCTCACCACGCTCTCCTGCCCCCCTCTCTCCCCAGCCCCCTTCCCCCGCTCCCGCACCGTCGAATTCCGCGGCTTTTTTCCCACCCTAAACCTGCACCCCACGGCCATCCAATCCCTCAAAGACCAACACATAGGCCTAAACCCCGATATCTACGAGTCGGAGATGCTCGCCCTCACGACAGATAAGCGGATGGAGAAGGTCAAGGAATTGGAGAGCTCGGGGGGTGTGGTTGAAGCGGTGTTTTGGTTGAGGGAGGTGGGGAATATGTGGAGAGTGAGGGGAAAGGCATGTATTATTGGCGGGGAGGGGGAGAAGGAAGTGGAAGGGAGGGGGTTCGTTGAGAAAGGGTTGAGGAAGGTTAGGGATGGAGAGGGGTGGAGTTGGGAGAGACAGGTTGATATGTATTTTGCGAATCATTCGCCGGGGATGAGAGGTACGTTTTCTTTTTTTTTCCATTTTTTCTTTCTTTTGTCTTATGTCTTTTGGGGGGAGGTATGGAGTGGGGATAGGGTGTATGGGTGCTGATGGGTGGTGTGACTGTAGGGACTTTTAAGAATCCACCTCCTGGAACACCCAGGAATCAGGATCCCGGACATCCGGAGTTGAAGCTGGGGCAGAAGGTGGAGGATCTCAAGGATAAGGTTGCGAGGGAGAATTTCAGGGTCGTGGTGATTCGGCCGGAGGAGGTTGAGAGGTTGGATGTTAATGATCCTTCGAATCCGATTAGGACCAGGTGGACGGCTGTGAGGGATGGGGAGGAGTGGGAGGAGGTGGATTTGTGGCCTTGATTTTGATACATTAATCTCTTATTCTTTCCTTGGTGCTATTTTTTGTTGGGATGATAAAAGTCATGGTATGAGGTTCATTGTAGATTAATTTGAAGGTATCTTTGTACGCTGTATTAACAATGAGTAGATTGGAATGTGATAAAGCCTGTCGTCTTTGAATGTAGCGGTGAGATAAACCGAGGCATTATACTGTTTGTCTTCTTTGTTGCTTGTTGCTTGTCCGAATAAAGCGGCGCGCTTTTGTGGACATTTCCGAAGCGTTGTATCCCGAAACACACAATTAGCACAAAGAAGCACCGACATCAAGACAACCTCGTTGTTTCATGCCGGGATCAATCTATAAATCGGCTATAGCCATCAGACATAATTATCCACTCTGTCCTACCGTTATAAATCATAGCTAAATCGACTCCCTCCCTGTGTCAACATCCTCCGTGGTGTAACCCAAGAACAAACAACCCTCAAACCCCAACAGAATGTCTTCGTCCACTGAAGGTGGTAGACTCATTTGTCCCGAGTGTCGAGGCTTCTGCGACGTCTCAGACAACTGTCCCACGTGTACTGCCGCTGACCCAGTCATACTCAAAGCGGAAATATCCGACTCGCAGGACGACACTGCTTTGAAGATGGCTCCGTCTGCTGAACATTCCCCCCAGCAGGTGGGTTACTCCGTTGTTAGATTTTGTGGAGCAGCGCTAACGATCGTTTGTTAGGCTAATTCCGAAGCTTCATCTGCCACAGCCAAGGCTGCTTCAGCTCCTCCGTCCCCTTCTGCCCCCCAACCACCCCCCGCGCAGCCTGCCCCTACTACCCCGCCAAAGAAAACTTCAAAGGCCACCAAGAAGACCAAGAAGATGGAATCTTCCAGCGATTCCAATAACAGCCCGAAGGAGAAGTTGACGCCGGCATGTGCTCCTTGCAAGAAAGCAAAGAGACGGTGCGTCCATCGCAGCGTTATTCCAGGTGGGTGCCATCAATATTCCGTATGACTTATTGTTGCTAAATTCGCATAGATGCGGAAGGACAGGGAGCTTCCCAGCCCTCCAAGAAGCGCAAGCAGACTGCTGAGCCAGGGGCCAACTCTAAGAGGGCCAAGAAGAATGATGGCGATGTCAGCGACAACGAAACGGGATCTGAAGAGGGTCAGCGCATCAAGCTCAAGTTTAAGAATGTTAAGTTTAACACCGAAACAGGTGAATCGACACCAAAGAAACGAGGCAGGCCATCCAAGACATTGCTGGGCAATGCTGAAGCCGGGGCTCTAACTAGTATAGAAGAGGAAGACGAGGAAGAAGATGTCCCACGGAAGCGAGCCAAGGATAAGAATTATGGCTTTCCAAAGGATAGCCTCGTTGCGGCGTCAAGAGTGACGGCTTTCAAACACTTGGACCGGCAGCTACAAGACAAGATAGCAGACTGCGAGGATAAATGGAAGGCGGCCAAGGACACCGTCGATGAAATCCGGTATATACTGAATAAATGGATAGCGCTTTGGGAACAAGGAAGGGCATGATGGCCGACAAGGATCTTTCTTTTCTGCATTCCTTTCAACCGGACCCGTCATGTGTTTCCTGTTCTTTATGGAGTTAACAAGGGGCTTCTTGTTTATTGCTGGCCTTATTTGCTTTTGGCGTTAGGGAGGCAGCTAGTGTCTGGCGTCATGGGTTGGTTTGGACTGCCAGAGCCTAGCCCGAGGGTTTATTCGGATTAAACAAGCTAGAGATGGGTAAAAACACCTCATGGTCTTAGTACGGGGTATGTTAGTGGAATGATAATGAAATGCATCAACTTATTGCCTGACTTGCCACTGGCAGCGGCCGAGTGGTGTGCAGCGGGACAAACTTGCTGCACTGCTCCAAAGTACCGTAGGGCGGGGGAAACCTCGCAATGCAATCAGCAGACCGGAATGACATGGTAGCCGAGTATCCTGCACACCGAAACCCAGGAATCATGGACGAACAAGTCATCATGCCCAGAACCGTTCTCCAGGATTATCTGGATCACAGCATAACATGCCCGAACAAAGCCAACCATGTTTGATGGCTTCTGTCATCCCACGGCTCCGTGCGGGACGATCGGCGGTCCCGCAGCCCAATCCTACAAGGTGAGCAAGACATGATGGGAGAAATCCTGGGCGGGTCGCGGCCTTGCAGTGGTCGAGGCAGCTGTCAGTCAAAAGCAGAATATCCTGGGTCATTTCCGAGAGCTCTGACTCGTCTTGAGATCCCTGTCTGGCCGTGGGCACAGGCCGTTACGTGTCATGACTTTCTTGGGTAAAGTCGCCGTTAGCGAGTCTTGGATGACCTTCGGCTTTGACCGGAGATTTCACGTTCATTTCTTGCAGCTGCGACATTGGACAATGGCTTGATGCAGACCCATGTCGATGGGATGGTTGAATTGTAGTGATTGATGGACTGATGATGATGATGGCTGGTCCGGGGGGTGTGGAAATGGAAGGGGATAAATGTCCTTTGTGACGGGTGGTGTTGTGTCGGCACGTGTTCTGCCCGAAATATTGACTACATTACTTACAGTGGTTGTGGATGAAACTGCCACTGGGTGTGTTTGAAATATATGGGGAGGAAAGCTTCCAGAATGCCATACACGGGGACCTCATTTCTGGAAGGCCTTGCTGGTGTCGGTCAGGTTTCATCTGTGACGGGAGCTCGTCTAGAGACAGTACTAGTTTCCTCCGAACTCAGCCTGACACTACTACTGCAGTGCTGCTCGTCTTCCTGCTCCTCACTGACAATCACCTTATGATGCTTATTATGATCTGGGTTTCCCCTCACGATCGTAAAGATACAGAGGATGAAAACACTCACCGCTGGTCTGGTGGTCTCTTAGCAAGGACTTAGTAAACCAGTTGTTTGGGGGGGGGTTTGCAACGAATATGTACTTTTAGTGTAGTCGCACAACACTCTTGGTTGTCTCGTAAGACAACCAGCCTGGAACCAATCCGGGGCCCCCGAACCATGACAAAGGAGAGGGATGAGGGAGTGGAACCGGCCATGGGATTGCCCGAGTGGCCGGCACTGGCAGGGGGACCCATGTCAATGGAAGCATATCGAGGAATCTTAATACCGAACATTGCTTACTACTTTGGCTCTAGTCCATACAACATGCTGTTATGCATACTGGTAATCTGGCATCCCCTGGTCATCGTCATGTGAAAGGGCGGGCTGAAATATTACGGTAATGCATCCTGCTGCATGGCTCAGACCCACGCTTCGGGCTTCACTTTCGGGGACGTCACTCTCCCTCGCAGTAATAGTAATAGTAATAGTATTCTTTTCTCTTCTTCTTCTTCTTCTTCGGTCCTGTCAGCTCCTTCACATCCAACTCACTTCTCCTTCCATTGCTTCTCTCTTCTGCCCTCCTTTCTTCCTCCCCCCTTGAAACTTTTCACCCCCTGATCGTGGTTCAATCCCGTAGTGCCAGTCACCTCTGCCTTTCCATCGTTCATTCTACCTTCTTCTACCCCGGTATCTTATTTTCCTCCTCCCGCCCGCTAGTTCGACACCGCTCTCGTGCGTAGTCCCCGATCCATGGAACAGTTGTAGGTTCCTGAATCCCTGCACACCTTTGTCCTCACCACCACCGCCCATCGGCCGTTCACGACTCCACGACGAAACGATTTCGCTACTTTTCCATTACACGATCCGCCTTCACATCAATATTTTATTACATTTCCCTTGCTCGCGATCGAGACGGCTGAACTTCTAAAGTGGGCTTAGTGGACCACTAATCCACACACTTGAAATTCTGCCAGTACAAATCTGGCCTACAAAGCACATGTTCCTCTCCCAATGAATCACATTATGCCCGCTGAAATGGACGCCCTGGGGGCCTTTACCCACCTTACGGAAAACATTCCCTCTTGGATCGATCGACTTGCAGAGTTATCTGCCCACACCGCCGCGAAACACGCAGAATACGCCGAGGCCTACAGAAGACATGTTACGGTGAGACCGCGCCGTCGCAAGAACAGCTCGGTCTGCTCCATTCGAACCGAGGACCTGCGCTCGTCGGCGCCCGAAACGGAAACCCGCCCTCAATCTTCTGCTGCGGAAACACATACCACCGTCACGACGCCTAATACCTCCCAGCACCAAGCGAATGTGAACCCTCGTAAACGTGGTGCTGAAGATGCGCCCTCCATGGACGCCAGGGACAGGAACCCACTTGTTAGTACGCGCTACAACCTCATTATCCACTATGACGGCCACACACAGCACGTTTTGGAAGAAATAGTGCGCCACATTGGGACAGCTCGCAACAACATTCGGAAAGGCAGAATGTCACAACTGCCATTGCCAGGGTACCGCAGCAAGATGCTGGACAGACGCGCAAGGATGAATAGCCTGGCTCCTTCACTTTCACCCTCCGAGTCCGGCGAAGACGATGTGCTATCTAGCATCCGCAAAGCCCGCAACCGGGGTCCTCCGGTGCCTCCCGCCCAGGACATGCCCAAAGAGTCTGCATTTGATATGGCGGAGAAGCAGCTGGAACTGGTACACGGAGTGTGTGAGACGGCTGCATACCAGTTTCTCCGATCTGGAGACTGCTCGACGGAATTGACCAGTGTAGAAGGCAAATTTAAAAGCCTTTTAGACCTGGCTACCAATGAAGTCCGCCGTCTGAAGGCAGAACAGCCCGAGGGACCAACAGTCGAGGACGAGACGGAGGCATCCGCAGCCACGACCATTGAGGTTGAGGTTGACAGGCAATCTCTGACGAAGATGGATACCATTGAGGTGGATGATGATGCGCAGTCGGCGGAATCAATTGACTTGACGGCTTTCCGCGCTAATCGTCTTCGCCGGAGATGAGCCATAGCGACTGACATACAGCATAGCGGGCGCACTCCTTTAGCGTGACTGGATTGTATACCCTTGAATTTTCATTCTACATATAAGCGACGATACCACCGGGATACTCCTTTGTTTTGTTTCCATCTCCGTCTCTTCCTGAAGTTGCATTTTTTTTCTCTAGCCATTTATCATTGGTCATATCTCATCTATAAGCGTGACTGTCCTTAAAGCGCGTGGAGTTGGTTGGGGCACATGTTTTATCTGGACTTTGATTTCTTTCATCCCTTCCTTGCTGTTCAAAACACATCTTTTTGTTTGCATAGTTGTCAATGGGTACATAAGTTGTTCGATCACAAATCATCCACACGATATGAACCGACTCATAAATTATGTGATGCCAATGGCATCCAGCCTGTGTAACCGGGTTGCCTTGTTCCTCACGGGCTTCTAGCTTAGATACAATTAGTGGTTGCCCAGTCTAGTCAGTTAGTGGGAGTCGTCACGGGAGTGACAGTACCATACCGGGCTCCATCTCTCGGGCTCCACTCTCATACAGACGGAGAAGGCGGAAATCTGACATTCCTTCCCCCGTCGCTGCGATCCTTGATTGGCCCATCGCTCCCTTTAGCGATGTTGTTGAATCCCGTCCAGCCATTTGAACCTGGAGCTGACCCAGTCCCGGCCCCGCCGCGATGGACCAGATTCCAGTGCGAATCCGGGAGGGATTGACAGCCGCGACCGGGTCGGAGCAATTCAGTTTGGTGGCACAAAACCACTTTCTTCTCTTTTCCAACCCAACCTCCAATGGGTCCTCGTCTCGCTGCCTTGTTGATGGTGTGTGTGTGTGTGGATGTGAATTTTGTTCGCGGGGTGGTGAAAGTAATTAAGGTGTGGGTGGGTATGGTAAGTATGGATCCCCGTCCCGTCCGTCCCAGACAACTCTACACCCCCTCTCTCCTTAATCTACTTTTTCTGCAGTGTTTATTCATGGGGTATATTTCGCTGAAGACTGCTTAATCCATCTAAGTAGTTGTGGACGAGTACGTACCGTAGATGCATTATGTTTACTTATTGATTAATGATAAGCACAACTGTATACAGTATACATGCATGCAAATCAGCAAAACTATTACACTACCAAGTGAGTGATTTTATCTACACCGAAATGCACCCACGGCATAGCCGAGGCACCGTCTCTCTCTCTTCCTCGGCTGCAACTTGCCCTCGACAGTCGACATATTAGACGAGTCTATTACGGAGTACCACCACCACTACTACTAACTATGTATCTGTATTTACTAAATAGATATTGTCTTTCCAGCGGGAAGTTCCCGTAAGCCGGGTCACTCACACATATATTAAAAGCATTAGGCTTACACCCCCACCCACCAGCTAACTAACTAAACTCACTTACCCGAGCCACCACCACACTGTTATCTACAGGGGTGTTGTGGACTCGTTTGACATGGATGTTTAACGTTAATCTCCAGCCCGTATGACCACTAATATATTTAGTGAGCTAACTTTAACTGAGTCAGAATTTATATAACTCGTTGGTGCCGTCTTAATGGCTGGCTAGGCGCGAAGTTGTCAGCTTCGTATTTATGCGAACTATGCCCTGGGTTTGGACTTGGTTGTAAGGTTGAGGCTACCTGGGGGGTTTGTCTATCGTTGGTTTGGTGTTCGGACGACGATATTGTGGCATCGACTTCTCGTTGTCGGATAAGTGGAGTTGCCTCTAGTAGGCTTACGGTAGGGTAGGCCTATTGAAAACCATACGTCCTGAAGAGACTAGTACAAAATCATCCGTATCTTCGGCGAGAATTGTGATCAGACATGGGATGTTATATGAATAGGCCAGTGACCATGGCTCTGTTGGTTTATATATCCTGTGGGGAGCCACACTGACCATAACATGTGCAGAAGGTGTTCTCCTATCTCTGCTTCCAGCCGAGTAGCACAAGCGGTCAGATGTGGCCACGACCTGACCGTTTACCGGTCGTACCTGCCATTCCGTGGCCTGTGACCAGACAGAATGTCCCAGTTGATAATATGTCAGAAGAGCTCCTTATATGGAAACATTGGGGCTCCTGATCCCGAATCCAAGGATATTACTATGTCCCCCTGATTACGCTTATCACTAGCATGCTCAACTATTATTATAACCATTCTTTCTTCGTCATGACCCTCTAGGTATCTGACAAAAATCCTAGACCATGCGCTCTTCAGTGTCGTGGCAATGTCCATACCCAACAGTCAACGGCCGTTCCACGTTATCATTGTGGGTGCCTCAATCGCCGGCCTGACTCTCGCCCACTGTTTATCCAACACCGGTATCGAGTTCACCATTCTCGAAGCAAGATCTGGCACATACCCGGATGGTGCTGGGCTTGCTATCCTTCCGAATGGCGCCAGGATTCTTGATCAATTGGGACTGTATCAAGACGTGCTGGACCAAGGTCAATGCATGGTATCGCACAGCACTTGGCTTGAAACTGGACACCTCTTGCGGCGAGTTGATGCGGGACGAATTCGATCTTTCGGATTCGGACGGTATGCGGCGATTATGTTCTTGAGAGATAATGTGGACTGACTGCGGGTAGAATTGATTATCCTGTCCTCGTTATAGCCCGACGGGCACTCCTAGGTATTTTATATACTCGCCTTCGGAGCAGTCGGCTGTTCTTCAATCGGCGAGTCGTCCGCATAGTGTCATCCCCGGATAATGTTACAGTTTACAGCGCGGATGGAATGAGTGTTTCAGGGGATCTGGTGGTTGGTGCGGACGGTGTTCATAGCATTGTGCGTGAGCAGATGTGGCATCATATCCGTGATACCAGTGGGGCTGTTGCCAGCTCTCGCTGGTTTTCGGAGGTCCCCTTGACCGATTCCTTCGCTGGTGTTTTCGGTATCGCTAAGTCGATTCCCAGGCTGAAGAAAGGAGACGTTCATCGGACGTATGGACATGGCTGGCTAACAGTTATTATGGTGGGAGCAGACTCCAGAGTCTGCTGGTTCATGTCGATTGCGCGCACAATGATGCCAGTGTTGATCCCCCGCCATACATCCGACCGCGCTGATGTATCCAGGATCGTCGAACCGTTTCTGAAGAGGCATGTCACCAGCGATGTCACGTTTGGCGAAATCTTCAGCCGCTCTGAATCATGCGTTGTGGCATCACTGGAAGAGGGATTCCAAAACAGATGGTCCTGGGGCCGGTTTGTAGGAATAGGGGATGCGGTACACAAGGTACTCTCACTCGCCTCAATGCGCCATGGTAGGGTAGTTGACAATGATGTATAGATGGTACCGAATATAGCAGAAGGTGCCAATTGCGCCATTGAATCCGCTGCATCGCTTGCGAACCATCTAGTCTTCTTCGCCCGCGGGTCCACTCCTTTGTATACGGAAGATCGACTCACTCCAATGTTGAAGGCTTGGGAAGATTCACGTAAGCGCAGAACCAGGGGTCTTTTTCTCATCTCACAGTGCGCGGTCCGCATAGAAGCGACAACTAGCTGGATGCTCAAGCTAAATCAAGTTTTTCTTTCGCACTTTCATGGAACGGGAATTGGCTTGCTCACCACCATCACCTCACGTACGGCACGAGTGGACTATCTTCCTTTACCACTGCCGCAACAGAGCAGTACGCAGCAAGTTCTAGAGAAGAAAGAACACGAAAGCGGGTGGAACTGGCAAGTGATATTACTACCCCTAGCAGCAGCAACCAGCTTGATGTTCTATGTTCTGCATGCCCTAGTGTTGTAGACAATGAATCAGCTTTCTCGGCCAAGGGTGGTCGGTTTCTAAGAATGACAGGATTTTATTATTCACTGCACAGTTATTCCCTCAGAAACAAATTGAATGATCTAACAGGCAGCTACATTGTGTAGGCTAGAGTTACCAGAAGCGATCAGAGTGAGGGACTTTAAGGCTGGTTGAGGGGTGAGGGTTAGTGCTAACAGTAGTCCGCCGTCTTTGACACGCTTGAGGGATTTACCCAAGCCACTGATCTCAACCGCACTCCATCCTCCGGTCCAAATTTCCCCAACCACTGGTTCTGGTAAAGCCCGCAGGTGTCATCGGCCTGGGGTTTCTATCAATCTGTCATCAGGCAAAGCTCGCATGGCATCCGCACAGACCTTGCGCGTGGTTGACAGTCCGAGCCTCCACTTCTAACTATAAAAGCTGGCGGGCACAGTGGGATTTCAAATTGTCGCACACCAAATATTCTTGCGTTCCATTCTGTTTCATTCTACTTCGCTCGCGTGGTGTCGTCTTCTTCTCAACCGGTTGAACTGAGCTCCTCTACTTTATCAAGATGGACGCGAAGTCAGGCGTGTCACTCAATGCCGAAGCGACTCGTCTCCGCTGGCAAGAAAGCGACGAAGAGAAAGGCATAGCAGCCAGAAGAGACCCTCTGCAGCTTTCGCGAACGACATCAGTGGCCTCCAACAGCTCTGCTCGCAGTCGCGCACGAAGAGCGACCGTTGATCCTTCTCTTTCATTGCCAATTCATTATCGTACAGTGTTAGTGCTGCACTCGGTATTGATAAACGTTCATTGAGCTCTGACATCATTTGGATAGTTCATTTGATATCGAAGAGGCGAGAGACCGTGAACGAGCGGAAGCTGCAAAGACTAAAAGCAATGTCGCGACTGGTACTACCTCCAATCAGTTACTGCTCCTTTTTGGGTCCTTCTTGTTGACAATAGTTTTCTAGATCTGTCGAATCTCGACTGGCACATGGTTTCGCCCGAGGAAATACAGAAACGATGGCGTGTCGACATCTCTCAAGGCCTGTCGCATGATCAGGTCCAGCAACGGGTTCGTGAGTTTGGAAAGAACGCTCTGTCTCCGTTACCACACCAATGGTTCTGGCAGATCTTTGGCTATTTCTTCAAGGGCTTCGGGGGCATTCTACTGATCGGCTGTATACTCGTGTTCATCTCTTGGAAGCCCTTGGGACAGCCTCCCGCTCCGGCAAACCTTGCCTTGGCCATTGTCCTGCTGGCTGTGTTCTTTATTCAGGCAGGTTTCAACGCGTGGCAAGACTGGTCTTCTTCTAGGGTCATGGCCTCAATCACTGCCATGCTACCTGAGAGCTGTCTTGTTCTCCGTGACAGCTCTCTGGTGGTAGTCTCTGCTCCGGATATTGTCCCTGGAGATGTGGTGCATCTCAAAGCGGGAAACAAGCTACCTGCAGACGTGCGCTTAGTTGAGGTCTCCAATGACGTGTGCTTTGATCGATCTATCTTGACTGGTACGCTACTCCCTGAGGTGCTGGCAGCAGGAGCTAATGGATCATTCAGGCGAGTCGCTGCCAGTAAACGGGACTGTCGATTCCACGGATGACAATTACCTTGAAACCCACTGCATTGGACTTCAGGGAACGCATTGCGTCACTGGGAGTGCAGTTGGTGTCGTTGTCTCTACTGGAGACTCGACTGTCTTTGGCCGGATTGCTAAGTTGACAAGCGAGCCCAAGAAAGGACTGACTACCCTTGAGAAGGAAGTCTTGCGCTTTGTATTGTTGATCGTTCTCATCATGCTCACGATGATTATCATCGTTATCATTGTTTGGTATGCGGTTTTCGATAGTTCTATTCATACCTGCTGACCTCTACAGGGCTACATGGCTCCGAGTCGACCATCCAGGCTGGATCAACGTGCCAACGCTGATCGTCGACTGTGTCAGTGTTGCAATTGCTTTTATTCCTGAAGGGCTGCCAATTGCCTTGACTGCGAACTTGACTATTACCGCCAATCTCATGAGCAAGAACAAAATATTGTGCAAGTCTTTGAAGACAGTCGAGACATTGGGTGCAGTTTCGGTAATTTGTTCCGACAAAACTGGAACTTTAA